TCGATCGTCGACTTCTGTTCGACAAGCTTCTCTGTACCAGGTGTTCTGATGCACTCTTCGATGCTCGAAGAAGGTGTTCATAATGGACAGTCCGTTTTTTGTACTAATCCGCAAAAATTTTGTGCCATTATTGTTGAGGTCACCTCAGCCGTTCTTTCCAATCACGCCTTTCCACTTTTCAGTGTCTACTCCGAATCTTCTCTGACATATGCATTAAAATCGCCCATCAGAATGAGGAACTCCTTAGTGGTCACTTCGTAGAGAGCACATTCCACTTCCTCAAGGAAGGAGTCATATTTTCAAACCAAACTGGGCGCATTGACCTGTAATAAAATTAACGTTTTACCTGGCTGTAGATTCAGTCGGAAAATTGCCACCCTTCCGCTACGAGATTTCCATTTAATGACTCTGTCAACCAGGTTGGGTTCTAGTAGAACACTAACACCGGTCTGGACGCGTATCTTGGAGTCGACACCTGAGTAGAGTTGCTTCCACCTGCAGAGTTTCAGAATTACAGATCCTTTCTGCTTCGTTGACTGGTCCAACTATGTCCAGTCATATCTTGCAGCCTCATCAAATGGCACCTACATTCTCTCTGAGTGAGACGATGTTCAGTTTTTGATTTTGAGCTCCCACTGTCTTAATCATTGCGGCGTAGCGTTATTTGAGTTGCTGCAATGGTATTGCGTTGTCTGTATCCACCGTTCAGAACGGGCAGCAATTTCGTTTCCGACTAGTGTCTTTATCGTCTTGTCGATCTTGGGTATTTTTCGCCGTGCTGCTACGATCGCAGCTATCAGAAAGTGTGAAGCAGGGTCTGATCCACGATTTCGCCAGTACTGTTCGTAGCTGTTGGTTCGACGACTACGCTGATATAGCGTTCTATAAGGGCAGTGCCATGAGGGTCAGGTTTTTAAGTTTTACAAGACACCTCCCAAGGGTCCCAAAACTTTTTCCCTTCCGTTTCGGGCTTGCAGTCGGCAACATCGGAGCTGTATCATTTGCGTTGGACGATATTTGGTGGACGTTCGCGGCTTGTATTTCTTTTACCTTTACAGGAACGACCTAATTATTTTTCATCGACTGCATTTTCCCTAAGCGAAGTTGCTTTTATTTTTACTGTTTATTGCAATTTTAGTCGTTCGTAAATGTCTTCGACATTTTTGTTTTCTAAAATCGCGGTTTTTTTGCAGAAGTCTGTATGATTTTTAGTCGAAAGTTTCGTAAAATTAGGTCGATATGAATCGAGATGAATTCGTACATTTGCAGTGAGAGGGGGTGGCATTGCGTCGATGCGAAAAATCCAGTATTGTGGACTCTTCTCTGATCTTTAGCTCCACTGAGCGTTTGAGTTGATCCTTTTCGCTTTTTGAGACTGACGCTTATTATACGTTTTCTTCTCATCTCATACGGGCGCGAAATGTCGCACTTTATACTTACTAGCTCGTTTTTTAACTGATAGATACGATCGTCGCAATCTAGCGTTCGACAGTTTTACGTGCCAATATGGATGTCTGTCTGATTACCAGATAGCATTCTTTCACCTGAGATTCTTAGAATCTTGCAGAAAGAATAACTTCGGACGGTGGCCATAATTCTCCTAGAAGTTAACGGAAGCGATTGGAGGCTATTTCATCGGTCTTGGCGAAAGCTTTTGGTTGCTGCTGCAATACCAGGCGTCTTGGGCAGAAGGTAATTTAACCTTCGCCCATGCTCTGTTGACAGCGAGTGGCAGCGACTGGTTGTTTGACGCAGCTCAGTCGTCGGCAGGGCACTTCTTTCGTGACCGAATTCACCAAACCACCTGGGACGGTCCGATTGGAGCCTACAGTTCCAACTGGACCAAGTCTGCATAAGCCTCAGATGGCGCACGTACTTGCCAAGAGTCCATTCAGATACTGTGATTTCATTGGTACTGATGGCCATACGATTGTAGCAGAACTTCGTCAGATATCACTCGCCCCGTATCGACATCGTCTGGTCGAAACACACAGGTTTCTGGATGCTGAAATGCTAACATATGACGAGTTGGTGCGGTAGGTGTACCAGCATGAGATAGGAAGCTGTTTTGGTGCCCTATATCTTAGTGCTCAGTACCCCTAAATTTTTCCATTGTCATCAGTCATGAATAAAACGTGGTCAGGGTTTGAACTTTTGCCTTTACGACCTGTGATAAGTGTTTTTGGTGAGGAATGTGTGTACTACGACTGTGGGTAGTACTAAGACATGCGCTTATGGAGTGATGGAAGATTAAAGAAACTGAGCCTTTTCATTCAGCAGATCAGCGCTTTGATATCTACCATGCCTACCAGGAGTTCTCTGTTAGTGGAGAAACGAAAAACAAGGTTCCTACTCGTATGGATGTCACTCTTACACTCAACGGTGACCTTATTTCATGCAGTTTATGATAATGAGCTTTTGAAATCACTCTCTGTGTTTTGCATTATCGAGATGTATTTAACGGTTTTAGTGGCGTTTAGTCCAGATGCATATGACAGAGAATATATACTGACTCTTCTGGCGGTAGTTTCACATGACCAAACCACTGCGGTTACCAGTCGTACACAGAGAACCAGCAACGCAGCTTCATCAGCAGATTTCGGACAGCCGAATGACAGAGTATCAGAGCAATTGTTCATGTAAATACAGGCGTGATACAGGCTGAATACAGGCGTGATAGAACGAACCCGGAATCACGTCAAGGCTGTTTTACGCGATTTCGGTTGATCATTTGATACTTACCGACTAGTTGAAAGATGATTTGCAGTTTCTCGTTAAACGTTGCTTATCCCGGGGACATTGGAAAGACGACTGCATTAATGCCGTCAATCCATTAGTGCACTGCTGATTCAGGTTCGCAGATTAGTCTGCGACTCAGTTTCTCTCTTGCAAACAGTAGTAGTTGATTGTATCTGCGAAACCAGTTTAATGCTTCGTTCTTACGCTACGGCAGTAGTCTTGCATATCTTGGTTTGCACAGGATGGACATATTTTGGGACTCCTATAATTGTTCTTATTGTCAGTTTTCTTAGTCTTTTCTTCGCCTTTGTCCAATGTTTCTTAAACGTTGTTCCATTCTCTCCGCGGTCACCATTTGTTTAATCCGTTCATTATTTATTAGTTATTGTCAGAGGTAGTGTCACGTACGAATTAAGCGTTTGGTTTTGCCACTAAAATAAGTATACTGTAATATGATTGTTTTCATTGTACCTTACGTATGAATTTTAGGCGCTCATATAGCAACCGTGATTTTAAAGTGTTCCGCGGCAGGTCTGAGGCGAGTCCGCCAGCAGCCAAACGGACGAAGCGCGAGTGGTAACTATTCCGTTGTCTTTGCTAAATATGTTACACTGGATTTTTAAGACTTTTCCGCATGTATACTATTTAACTTATATCAGACAGTCATTGAATATTATTATTTATAAATTGTTTGAGTCTACGTAACATTTACTTTCAGACTATTCCAGAACGATTGCCCATTGTTAACATTTCATTATTCTCGGATTTGCGTTTATGCCTTACCTTTCAAGCGGAACTTCGTAAAAATTAGCAGTACTGTTTCACAATTGTGAAGTGTCCGCTTTTCTTTAGACTCCAAAAAAAAATTTTTAAGTTCTTAGTTGTCTCATTGTTCGTTTGTTGTTTACATGCCTGTGGACCATGCAGTTTATCAGCACCACGAGGATGTTTGCAATTACATGTCAGGAAACGATTCATATGGATTAATCGGTGGAAAGCTGGGATGTACTTTCTTCTAGTTAGCTCCATACATCCACGAATGGTAAAACTCCATTATCATTCATTCATTTTTACTTAAATGTCCCCTAAAGAACACGACAAGTAGTCATTCCGTACAAAAACGGATATTTACATATATTAATAAACATAAAAGACAATGGTGAATTGCCAGACGTATTCAGGATTGCCACGGCTGTTTGTACAAGCGGCTGTTCTTATTTGCTGGAATCGATTAAGCACATAACTGTTAATGGGATGACCGAATTCCTGTTGACATCAGACCGACGTTTGCTGATCATGTACTAGGATTGTTCGATAGGCACGCTTTTAGGGACTGATGTAAAGGATGACGTGGGTCGACCAGAAGTTAACAGTTGCTTTAATCCGATTCTTGATCGGAATGGTCAAAAGCTTCTGCAGCATGCAATGACGTATACGTCCCAGCAGTTATAGCATGGCTAGACGGGATGGAGCTTTTTCACAATGAGGCTACTAAAGTAGACGTGTGGCGCACAGTATGGAACCAGAGGCAGTATGCGTGAATTATTCCACCTTCTCTGGTCCGACGCACAGTTTCTTCAAACTTTACAGGATTGAATTAAAACTCCTTATTTTGCTGACCATGGCGTTTAATTTTAAACATCACCATGGCCGGTCCCAAGCCCGGATGAGAAAGGAGGAGGGTTGGAGACCGTGGCAAGTCTCCGTAAAAT